CATTTAATTATTTTTGAGGGAAAACTTAAAAAAAAAAAAAAGGGCAAAAAAATACACTTCCCTAATATCACATGCATCATCACGTGTATCATCACGTGCATCACCACATGCATCATCACATTCCTCCAGCCCGCCCGATGAAGTGGCGCATCTGGTTGGTGTGCCTCTTTCTATTGTATCCCTAACTGTGCTTCCAATTTCTGCGTTCGCTGGGCAACGCAACTGTGGTTCTTCCCTCCCCCCATGGGGTCACACACCAAAAAAGGGGGGATTTAAAATCATTCTGCTACGTCTGCAAAAGGGGCAAATGGGCCTACGGGGTTGTCGTCTTCCTGCCGCTTCTTCTTGCGTCCTCCCGAAAGGCTGCTCACCCCCGATTCACACAAACAACAACTGCCTTCAATACGAACCGACGAAAATGTTATTGATCGGAATGAAGACAAGCTTGATGGTGTACCCAATGAACCCCATGATAAGGAAACCAAAGGAGCAGGCATACACGATGTTCGTGTACTCCTTCTTGTTCGGCTTCGTGCACTTCCTTATTAACCTAACACTATCATGGACGAAAGTTTGTATGCCGCTGATGAGGTACCCGACGGGGTGATTTTCATCAACCACAAATTCAGGGACCTTCACATCGAACATGGTGTTGAGTGCTGCTATGGAATTATTTAAATATGTGGGCAAGTGGAAAAATGGGTCTGTTCCAAATGACAGGTATAAATCTGCCCGATTATCTCGTCTCTGCAAAAAAAAAAAAAAAAGGGGACATCCAACGACGTGACGCAAATTCGCAACTGCGCAAATGATTGTGCAATTATATCGCCGTTATATGGCGGTTAATGAGGCAACGCGATGGTGGGAGATACACAGGGCTGGGACGTGGAGCGTTTTTTTTCCAGAGCTGTGTTCTTCTCATTTCGTACTTTTTTTTTCCTTTCCAATTTTAGCGATAACTGTATGTTCCCCACTGAGTCAAAAAGTTGCCAATTTTACTTATTGTTGATTTTTTTTTTTTTTTTTTTTTTTTCCTCTTCCGGATGAGCAAAGCTGTTCAAACTTGTTTTTTCCTTTTTTTGGAAAATAAGAAATAGAATATAAAAAAAAAAAAAAAA